AGAACAAAGCAGCCAAAAAAAAAAAAAAACACAAACTTACATTACAACCACTAAATGTAGGATATTGGTTGTCACCCATATAAACTTGAGTTTGGGAGTCCTGAATTATAAAGAGCATGAATTTCAATGATCATAATTGTTAACTAAATACATTACTAACAAAAATATCAATGTATTAATGTTATACCTTCATAATAATATTGCTCTCTTGCGTTGCAACTACATTACCACATCCGTAAGTGAGTGAATCACCAATAGGGCAAACTGCATCACTTATTACCGGTTGAAAATCCTGCCACAAATACAAATATAACATGTAACATATTGTAATACATTTATAAGTACATAATCGACAAAGTTGTCATTTTACTTGCTAACTTTTATTTCCTACCTGGGTAAGGTCTTTCTGAGATTTGCGTTTTTTCTCTTTTTGTTGTTTTCTTTTAATAGCTTGCTCTGTCATTGATTGTTTCCTTTTAGAAGGTGGTCGGCCTTTACTTCTAACTGCTAATGGAGTCAGTATACGTCGGCTTGAGTTGGAAATTCCATTAACATCATTCTCAGACTTCTTGCCAATAGGTGACTGGGACGCTTGTTGGTTGCGACTATCAACTCCATCATAATTAGATATCTCCTTCATTAGCTTATGCATCCAAGTCATCACAATCATGCATTTATCATCAGAACTATTTGCTAATTCCTTGATGTCATCAAAAGTCTTTTGCATCTTTGTGGATCGTTGTGCTTCAGGTGTGGCTTTCCAATCAGCATAATTTACTTTAACCCTTGTGTGGCATCTCTTCACATCCTTCCTCCATCTTCGCATGATGTATTTATCTGGAATTAAGTCGATTTCATGATGCGTTAAAACATAAATTGCATGCCTGCATAATATGCCTTTAAATTCAAACAAGCAGCAATTGCACTTAACCTCCTGATCACATTGCTTGAACAAAACCTTGAAAATAACCTTTTTCTTTTTCTCCTCGACCTTGATAACATCAGATATGTGGTACTCTAAAGTTTCACTATCAAAATTTTGCACTAAAACTCTGTCACAGTACATTTTCCCTATCAACTCATCATAAAACTCCTTAAATTTTGTAATCGTGTACACCTCTTCAACTTGCGTTTCCATGTCAAAATGGGTTACACAAGGAATACGTGACGATAAACAATTACAATCTGCCTTGGTCTCGTTTTCCACCTTTATCCTCAATGCATTGTCATATTGATCCACAAACTGTTTTAAAGTAGTTTTTGAGTTTACATGACCATCAAAAAATGCATTCATACTCTCACTACGTTGTGTTGTAGACATTCCTGCCCAAAAACTATTTTTCACAAATGCTGGCACCCAATGATGTCTCTCAATATATAGGCTATCCAACCAATCATTTTGCAACTTATATTTCTCAATCATCTTAGCCCAACCTTCTTCAAACTCATCCTGATTCAATGAGTCATAAACAATGTTGTTCAAGGTAAAGCTAATGGATTGATATTCCTTATACCCACTTAACTTTTGAGGAATTTTATTCATGATATGCCACAAGCATAAACGATGTCTAGTATTAGGAAAGACAATCGCAATTGCTTTTTTCATGGCTTTGTCTTGATCTGTAATTATTCCCTTTGGAGCACAACCATATATACAAGCAAGCCAAGACTTAAACAACCAAATAAATGTGTTGGCATCTTCACTTGAGATCAACCCACATCCTAGCAAAATCAATTGACCATGGTGATTGACCCCCACAAATGGAGCAAATGGCATGTCATACTTATTAGTCAAGTATGTGGTGTCAAATGTAACAACATCACCGAATTCTTCATACGCCGCCCTACTCCTTGCATCTGCCCAAAACACATTTCTTAAACGACCATCTTGATCTAAATCAATAGCATAGAAGAAATTTGTGTTCTTAGATTGCATATTCAAAAAATAATTTTGAATTGCAGTGGCATCTCCTTCCATTCCTACATCATATAGGACATGAGCTTATGATACATAAGCATATAATACCAAAATTTCAATACTACGGTCAATCAATTCATCTAATGACTAAAAAAAGAAGAAGAGAGAATTATAAACAAATTAACGTATCAAAAACATTAAACTAAAAAAAGAAACAACATAAGCCAAAAAAGAAACAGAAAGTTATATCTCAATGGTATACTACAGTCAAGTTATTACAGGTTCTTAAGAAAAGCATGTTTAACTGGTAAAAAAAAAAACTTAATTTGAATACTGATTGAAACAAATAAATTAACGATTCAGCAACCGTGTATGAGAAGAAAGCATTCATCCAAAAAAAAAAAAACAAGGTAAGCAAAACAAAAAAAAAAAGTTATAACGAAGGTTTACTAACCTAAAACCGTGGAGGAAGGAGTAGAGCGGAGGAACAGGGTCAGAATCTGGCGGAGTGGTGGCAAAAGTCCGTGGTAAGCACCTGCGATGGGGAGGACTGGTGGAGGAAGGTTAAGCTAAACAGAAAAAGAATCTTAACCGTGAAGGAAGGAGTAGAGCGGTGGAATGGAGTCAAAAGTCTGGCGGAACAACGTCAGAAGTCTGGCGGAGCGGTGACAGAAGTCCGGCGAAGCACCTGCGATGGGGAGGAGTGGTGGCAGGAGTCCGGCGAAGCACTGCGATGGGGAGGAGAGGAAGGAGGGAGAGAGAGAATTAGGGGAGGCAAAGAGACGTGTGAAAAGTGGTCGTAGAGTTTAGTTTAGTTTAGTTTTTTTTTTATAAATTTTTAACTAAAGAAAAATATAGAAAATATTATCTCCTTAAAAAAAAACTAATATAATTTTAATGAGGTGGTTGTCCACATCAGCTGCCATGTAAGATGGTATTAAAATGTGGTAGATTTATGTGGTAAGCATAGCATTACCCTTTATTTTATAACCAAAACTTCAATTTTTATTTTTTTGGGGTCTGAGTTGTTGGGTGTGTATTTTATTTTACCCGTTTTTAGGTGAAACCTATTGAAGCCACTTTTTAATCTCATCCGTTCATATTCACCCAACGGCTCACATGACCGTCAGCAGCGCGACGAAGAGTAGGGCGAGGCTGAGGACAGCGTCTTCAGACCAAAAAAAATTGACACTCGCGAGCGTCTTCTTGTACTCTGCTTCGATTTTGGCATCTCCTTTCTCTCCTCTCCCCTCCCTGATGAACGATTTGTGGCTCCGATGTTGATTTTGAGTTGAACTGGAACTTGATACATTTGGTGCTTATTTGTGATTTCGTTATCTGGGTTTTCTCTTCTGTGCTTATTTGGGATTGTTGCATTTTCATTGCAACAATATGATTATACTTCCAGATGCTGAAAATTGAAAGGGTTTTATTTCCGTTGGGTGTTTGAAATATTATAGCTTTTCTAATTTGGAAGATGCTTCAATATACAGAATTCAGGTGATTGATTTGTTTTTGTAATTGCTTTTAGGGGATGGGTATTTCTGTTTGATTCTAAGTTTTGGGATTTTTCATGTTTGGTTATCTGAATCTTACTGCAATTGGGTCTTTTGGCCTAGTTTGATTGGTGTTTTCAATATCTTGAAGGAGATTCTATTTATTGGTTCTAATCTATGTTGCATAGATACAAATAGGGATATGCAATACGATTCACCAAAACGGCAAAACTCTAAAAAGGCTAGAATACAAGTAGGGCACCGATACAGCTATTAAAATAATAAAAAATAATAAAAATTGATATTGCATCCATCATGTTATAATCATCCATTATATTTAAAACATAAAATTAAAAGCCAGTTCAAAAGATCCATTAGTGTAGTGATTTGGAGTAATTGCTCCTTTACGAAAGGTCTTGAGTTCGAGTCTTATCATTTGATAAAAGGACTTAAAAAAGATAAACCAAACAAACTAAAAACCAATTAATACATGTAACCAAATTAAATGCATTTTGATATAATCATCCATCCTGTGAATCAAATGCATTTTGATAACAAAAAACGAATCAAATATATATAACCCAATACTAACAGCAGCTAGCTACAAAGGAAAAAAAAAAGGGTTAGAGTTGAATGTGTGTAAGTCTCCATGTTTTAAAATAAAAAAAATGAGGTTTTACAACTGCTAAAAAAACGTACAGCACGGTTTGCCCCTTAAAAATTAGGTTTACTCTCTCAAGAAAGAAAAAAGAAAAAAGGTTTTATTCCTTAAAACGTGCGTTCGAACATAAGTGAAATTGAAAGCCCAACAATGAGACGACGTCGTCTCAGGGAAAAACCTAAAACAAACAAAATCGCGCTCACTTCGTCTTCCTCGCGCAGCAGAGGCTCACAGACGACGACGCTTCTTCATCTTCCTCACAGACGACGCCTCAGACTTCTCGCTGCAGCGCCGTTTCGGGACCGTATATCGGAGACTTATCGGACGGTAAAACTTTCGGAAAAGTCCACGATACGAGCATACCCCTCAAGACTGCCGTATCGGTGCAACACAGGTTCTAATATTAGGCTTGTCCTTTTGTTTCTATGGTGTTCTGTTTCATCATCTATTATGCATAATTTCATAATGTGTATGCAGAATTTCGTCATCTATTAGACATGCAAAAATAAAAGATTGCATTAACACAAAATTCCAACTGATTCATTTTATGCCCTAATATTCTCATCTGTTTTAGTATGTCTGATTTTGAATGTTTTTGGATTTAATTGTGCTCTGTATTATGTCTTTCATGAAATTAATCAATTTTGATTTCAATTTTTAGGGCAAACCCAATCCTATTCAACTCAGATAATTAAAATGAAGAAACCTCGAAGCACAATCTCCACATCAAGCAAAATAAAGTTCGAAGAACCCGAATCTTTGTCATCCGAAGATGTAAGTAATCAAAAGCAAATTTTTTTATTGCTATTATAATTCTTATTGTTGTGAAGAAGAATCAATTTTTGCATTTGATTTTCATTCTTTTTTATATTTATTATAGGAGGGGGAGATAGAGCAGGAGCTTGCAGATGTGACATTTGGTGAACTGCAAAAGGCACGCTCAAACGGGTCACATTTAGTGCACCCAAAGCCCAAAGAAGAGAAGAAGGGTGGCCGGGCCAACAAGAACCGGTAATTTGAGCATACATTAGGTTGTTTCCCATTAGTTTTCGTAATGCAATTGAAGAGTTGAATATGCGTGTGTATGTTTGCTTTTGAAGGCCAATGGAGGTTAGTTGCAAGAAGCCCGTTACAAGATTTCGAGAGATCATTCAAGGTTCGAAAAAGGTGAGCCTTTGATATGAAGATGTTCTGCTTTGTGATTTTATGACTTAATTAAGACTCAACCTTATTTGCGGTACACCTTTCTGTTTTCCTATTGGGTTCCAAAGGTTTTCATGAGAAAAGATTGATAACTTAAATAGTTAACTATGACAAAAATTGACGATAAATAACTGTAGCTTGTTTCTTGTTTTGTGTTTTTAATTTATGTTTTTTCTATGACCTTTTGGAATCAAAACCTGGTGTGTTATTAAGCATGACATAGGGGGATTATGGTTTTAGTATTTGATGTGGATTTTATTCTTAGGATTCATTTCTCCTAGAGAAGTTCTTTTTGTATCAAAGTTATGTTAAAGCGAGAAAGTGGATGAGCAAAGTTGTGAGTAGTCAATCTATGATTAGAGCTAGTTATTTCCATACCTAGGCAATCATGATATGAAGACAACTAGTGGAGTATTGGAGTAAAGCTTGAACAATTCAATCACTGTACTTTGGTTGAAATTATTTCTTGCTATGTTCAGGTGGTACGTGACCCACGTTTTGAATCTTTATGTGGAACACTGGATGTTGACGGGTAGGCTTCTCTCTCTCTCTCTCGCCCCCCAATTTGTGGTGTGTATAGATTACTTTATTTAGGCTTCTCTCTTTTTATGAAAGATGAGTTGCTACTTCTGGATTATCCGAAGTACCAAGCCAAAAATGAGTTGTAATTATTTTGGCTTCAACAAAATTTATGTTACTTAGAAATTAAAAAAGATAACCTGCATTCAACAGGTTTAGGAAGAGATATGACTTTCTATTTGCAAATGAGCTTCCTGCTGAGAGAGAGGTAAAATTTCTTAAATATGTTATATGTCTTCAGTGTCATCTCTACATGTTTATTATTTTTCTCTGATTTTTGTTTTGCTTATGACAGGAACTGCAGAAGCAAGTGAAGAAATCCAAGGACCCAGAAGTCATTGAAGAACTAAAGAAACGCATATCTTGGATTGTAAGTGCTTGCCTTCAAAAACATATATTTGATAGATTCCCGCATTTATCTGACCTTGCTATATATTCCTTTTAACTCTCTATTTTGCTTGAAAGAAAAATTAGAGAAACTGGCTCTGTCACTATTCAGTTTTCTTCATTGTTGTGTTTTTTCAGGATAAACAGCTCAAATCTGAGTCAGCCAAGCGCACTGAAGCTGCAATACTGGCTGAGCACAAGCAAAAAGAGAGAGGAGCAGCAAAGCAAGGGAAACAACCCTTTTTTCTTAAGAAATGTAATACTCTCTTGCTCTCTCTCCATCTGTGTGTGCATGTGCATGTGTGTTTTGTTTCAAATCCCCATTGTACTTGTTTAACATTTTTAATTATTTACAGCTGAGATCCGAAAGAAACGACTTATGGAAAAGTATAAACAACTCAAGGTACAAATTTTCGTTTTGTCATATGTTCAAAATACCTTGTTGGGACTAGTACTTTGTCATCATGGCTTTGGCAACTAACGTAATTTTTTTAAATGATCAGGGATCTGGCAAGCTTGAAGCCTTCATCGAGAAAAGGCGCAGGAAGAATGCTGCAAAGGACCACAGATACATGCCATACCGTAGGCCTGACAACACTGAGCAACAAATTTAATGACTTCACTTGGTTCTGGAGAAGCAGAGTAAATTTTCTTATTAGCTGAGTGGCATTGGGAGACTACTGGGTAGTGACATGGTGAGTTTGCTTGGAAAGCTGCAAATTTCAGTAAATTTG